AGGGACCTAACAGCCTGTATCAAAGGGCCGGACTACCCCTCACAGTATCCCTTGAGGGACAGGGTCAAACAAATTTTCCACGTCCACAAAGCACATGTAGACTGGGAGGCCAAACTCTCTAGCACCCTCAAGGACCCTACAGAGCAGGCATCTCCAAAGTCGGTCCTCGGGGGCCGCTGTCCTCCTGGTTTTAGAGGTTTTCTTGCTCCAGCACAGCTGATTTACATTGTTAGTTGATTAACATTCTTTTGCTGAACTGCAATCATCAGAATCAGCTGTGCTAAAGCAGAGAAACCTCTAAAACCTGCAGGACAGCAGCCCTTGAGAACCCACTTTGGGGATGCCTGCTGTAGAGGGTGTAGAACTGGTCCTGTTTTTTAAAAAAAAGGATGAAAACCCCACTGCTTTATCTGAATTCAAGGTTCCAAGATCTGATGGACCTTCCTCTTCAGAACCTCTGAATAAATCTGTGTAGTTGGAGCACACCCTACAAACCTTCTATATGAGTCGAGGGACCACCTTCCCAGTCCATGAGTCATACATGTGAGTTCAAACTATCTAATATGATACCAAAGATTAATTGGGCACACAACCTCCACTGCCAAATAAGGTGATGGCAGCATCCTGCTGTGGTGAGTTTTTTTTGTTGTTGTAATGAATGGAAAGCTTGTTGGAGTTGATTGGGAAAATTGATGGAGGTAAATAATGGTAAACTTGGGAGAAGATTTGGGAGGCTTAAAAATGCTTGAGACCAGGATGGAGGACAATGCTAAACAAAGAGCAAAAAACAAGGTTTATATCAAAGCAAAAGGACATAAATCTACTTAAGAATCTATGGCGAGGCCTAAAAATAGTTGTCCCTGATGCTCTTCAGGCATTTGGACTGAGCTTGATTTTATTTGCAAAGGAAATTAGCAAAAACGTTGGTTTCTTTATGTATAAATCCAGAAGACAAACACCCCAAGAATACCTTCCAGCTGTAAATGCAGAGAATGGTGGTTCAACGTTTACAGACTGAGAGAGGCTGGAAAGAAATGTAATCCAAAGATTTTATTCATAAAAATTGATCACATCTGTTCATTAAAATCAGATTCCTTCTACTTTGCACTACAGTATATTTTGATCTATCACATAAGACACTGAATAAAACAAACTGCTCAGTTAGTGGGTATGAATTTTTCAGTGCAGCCTGTTCTGCTGGCTGACTTCACCAGCCAAACTTTAATAGCTTTATCTAATCTGCAGAGCATGTTTACACACATTGATCCATCTGTTACAGATGCAAACAACGTGTGCGATTGGGCTGAACTTGACTGTACAGTTGGCAAGTTCAGGGTTCAACGCCCTCTGATCTCCAGCAGAGATTTAATAATGCAGTTAGGAAAGCCTCTTTAGGGGTGTGTGTTCGTGTGTGTATACAAACACGACCGCCAGATAAAGATGCATTCCAAATGTATATTTGAACAGTGGTGAAGCATCAGGGCAGCCTGCTGCGTGAGGTTAGCTTGCCTTAATGAGCTGCTGTGTTTGTCTAGGATGCAACTAGAAAACAAGCCAATTCCCAAACATCTCCTATGAAGCCTATGTTCCTCCCACGAGTACACAAAAGGAGTATTCAGACCTGTAGCGGCACGAATGTTGCAGGTTTTATGGAATGTGTACTTAGCTAAACTAGTAGCATTTACAGAACGGTGGAAAATATTTTCCCAGCATAAACCTGTCACTGCAACACATTGACAGAATGTTAGAAAGCAATCTCCAGACACCACCTATGATGGAGCTTGTGTACATTCATATATAGCAGCATGGATGAAAGGATGTCAGTGTAAGCTTTGGCTTTATTGATGGTCAGTACAGAGAAAGGTGGTCCTGTTCGGTTTAAACCTGCACCCAGGAAGATCAGCCATGAAGGATGACCATCCAGAAAGGGAAGCAAACAGACACTCAGATCTGGTATAAACAATTCTACTTAACAGAGGCGGCTCCAGAAAGGTAACCGTAGGGTGGCCAGGTGGGTTTCCTTGATGATCTTAGAGTGGCGCTCCAAAACCAAGGGCTCAAGCAGCATGTACCATCTTCTTAGGGCTTTACATGTGGGGAAAGAGCCTGACCTTTATAGGATGGTGTTGCATTTGAACTAAACCCAGGGCCAAGTATAGGCCTACCTACTGTGAAGGAAGAACAAAAGAAAAACACAGAGGGAACAAAAAGTTAAAGGTTGAAATCTAACCAAAAATATGCAAAATTCTAAAGTGGTAGAAGGATGTGGCAGCCTATAAGCTTTTAGCAGCATATTTACAGAGAGATTTTAGGAAAACCTGAGCCACCGTAACTAAAAAATAGGTGTTTAAAACCCTAGGAAAAAAAGTAGAAGACGTGTCTGCCTCGTAGATTAGAACTAGAAGTTGGTTAAACAGAACAAGACTCTAATGATGAAAAGCCTTCTATGCTTTAGAAACTCTACAATTCAGCAGCAATAGAGCAGTCTGGAAGCAAGATTTTCTCTGTTAGGAACATATAGAAATAGAAAAGCACTCTGAGAGCGCCTCCACAAGGAAGGAAATTTCCCCCAAATTTTGACTTCAACCTAAAACTAAAACTTGCACATGATCTGAATCATTACCAAGTACTTCAGTACTTTTTCTTGTATTTTATGGGCAGTTGGCAAACAACTTTTGATGTTCATTAACTCCATCTTCTGTAATGAAGTGTGGGATAGAAAGGCAGTCATCCATCCATTATCTGACACCCTTGTCCCGAGTGTGGTCGCGTGGGGTGCTGGTGCCTATCTCCAGCAGTCAATGGGCGAGAGGCGGGGTACACCCTGGACAGGTCGCCAGTCCATCGCAGGGCAACACGGAGATACAGGACAAGGACAAACAACCATTCACGCACACACTCACACCTAAGGAGAATTTAGACAGGTCAATTAACCTAACAGTCATGTTTTTAGACTGTGAGAGGAAGCCGGAGTACCCGGAGAGAACCCACTCATGGTCAGGGAGAACATGCAGACTCCATGCTGAAAGACCCCGGGTCGGGAATCAAACCCAAAACCTTCTTGATGCAAGGCAGCAGTGGTGGTCCAGTGCTGCCCACTAATATTTAATTGATTTTTCATTGAAAGGAATTTACTGTTCTAAAAGTTTAGCTTTAGATAATCTCTGTTTTTTATAGGCGACTTAATATAATGAATAATTACACGTTCTACAGTTTCTAATTCTCCACAATAGCTACAGTATTTTGTCTTCATTAAAATACCTCCAGACCTTTTGAGTCCGACGCTGAGGCTGTCAATAGACACTGCTGCCACCCTCTGGTTTAGAGAGGAACTGCTTGTTCCGCCAAATATCCAGCAGTGTTAGAGAATCTTTTTTTTTTTTTTTATCCTATATCCAGATTATGATCTGGATCATCACCAACATGTAATTGATTCTTCCTTGGCACGAGGGAATCCTCTGATAAAATTTCATGAAATTTCATCCACACACATAAACTCTCATAAAACCTAACCTGTTTTGCGGATGTAACAATGAGATATTTGATTTATGATGCTTCTAGATATTTAAGACTTTATACCTGAAAAGTAGAATTACAAATTCTCTCAGTCAATAGGGACCCAGTGAGGGAAGCTTAAACAGGTGAAATACGATCTCTTGTGAATTCTTATCACAATTCTTGCTGTAGTGTTTACAATCAACACAATACCTTGAACTGCATTTTATGGACTTCCTGATAGTAAAGAATTACAATAGATGTGCCTTGAGGTAATTAAAAATGCATAGACTATTTTTAGTGGCACTCTTAGACAGAATATGGGAAATATTCCGTAAGTGAAAGTAGTAAGTCCCATGAACTTTTTATCTATTGGGTTTCAAATATATTTTCTGCTTTAAAAAAATAAAAAATAAAACATTAAGTTTCCCTTTTTTTTTTTTTATTACCATGGGGTGAGAGTTTGTCTGTGTTGCCCCGTGATGAACTCGTGACCTGTGCAGCATTTACCCTGCCTTTCGCCCATAGACTGCCTGGAGATAGGCACCACCAGCCCCACCATGACCCTGATGGATGGATGGATGGATGGGTGGGTGGGTGGATGGATGGATAGATGGATGGATTACCGAGGTAAATTCAGAATAATCCAGATTAAATGATTTATTAAAATATCTTGTCATCGACTCTAATCCAAATATGAAAACCTTTAGCTCTACTTAAGTTAGAAGCAGAATATTTAAAGTTAATGCATGAGGTTTTGTAAAATATTTGTAAAAAAAGATCAACATCTTAAGCCAGAAGATCTGTTGCACTGTGCTGGGGGAGCATGGAACCCCTCTCCATGGGACTCTGGAGAAAAGAAGTTGCAAGCTCACTTGGACTGGAAAACTATCAAAGAATGGGACTTTGAGAATCTATGGGAGCCATATATGAGGATTGTAGGGACTGAAAGTGGAGCTTATTGATGGAAGTTTTAAATGGATGTCTTGACTACAGTTTTTATTAATATATTGCACCCTTTTTTCCTATTTTCTTTATTATGTCTCTGCCTTAATCTAAAGGGCTTTGTATATTTTTTGGAACAAATGCAGGTTTAAATGGTGAATGCAGGAGTGAATATAAGTGTGTATAAGTATATGTTAAAAGGTTTGTTGTATCAAAAAAAGAGAAAATTCAAGAAAATATATTGGAGAAAAAAAAGATTTCTGAACTCACTTTAATTTACGACAAGTATATTAAGTTATCTTTGAAGAATTAGGAAAAAGCAAATAACAAAAACACTCATTATAATAACTATGAAAAGAAATATATATATTTTAATATGATGGAAATAATTATTTTATACAGTAGAACATTATGCCAGTTTTGTTTACATCTGCACATTGAGGAGTGTTTGCAGAAATGAGGATGACTTTGATCTAATCGGCAGGGGAGTAAAGGGGCGTGGCCTAATGTGGGGTGAAATGTACGAGGGGGCGGGGGAAGAAAAGACTACTTCCACCATCACCATATCCTCCTCTCAGTTTTCAAACACGGCGTGTAAAGGGAGGATACAGGCGTGGTAGCTCTGACCATATCTGGAAGACTAGTTTTTAAATCGTGAATTAAACCTAACCGCTTGCTGTTTTTCTTTCCCATTTTTTTTTTGCGATGGCCAAAGGAGAAGGAGCTGAGCAATACTCCAACGCTAGTTTATTAAATAAATCGGACAGCTCGGATTCTGTTAAACTCGCAAGAAAGGTAAGATAATTTAAAATACATATATATACTAATATTGCATTGGGGGATGTTGCATGCTTTTATATAATGTCGTTTTAAATCACCAACAGGTAGAATAAGGCTTGATTTTAGGAGGAAATGTTGAATAGTGGAATGAATGGAGCCCAGCCGGGGAGTGAAATACGTTAGCCGGGGGTGGGCGCGCGACGTTTACTGACATCTTTCCGGTAAAACCAAATAAATACTAATTTAACCTAAAACTCATTTTTTTAAATTAAACAATATATAAATAACGATGGATATCAAGGGGAGCATCGGTCCGAGCTTCCTCCATTCCGCTTCTTTTCGTTTTTATTTGTTCTCCATATTTTTTTTTAATATGCTAATATAGATGCTAAGATAAGTGACGTTCTAGGACCGTTTTTTGCAGCATGTCGGGGACTATTTATACATCCAAAGATAAGCGAGATGGTTTATAATGTTCATATAATGTTGAAGAATCTTTGTCTTTTTTTTATTAAATGACCGACCAGAAAATGTAAAAATGCATAAATAAAAAGAAAAATGCCGCTCGTGCGGTGCTAATATAAGGAGAATTTGATGTGCAGTTAAGGAAATAAAGGTGACACAATGTTCAGATTAAATTAGCCGCAGGATGTAGCTTCACTGCCAAAAAAAAGGGGTGTGACTAAAGCCTGTTTTTCATTATTTATCTTTTCTTTATATATAATCTTATCAACAAGCCATTTCCAAGCATTTTTTTTACAATCGTACTCATATTTCCTATGCCTCTGAATGCAACAGGAAGAATCCGTCAAGGTGACGTGTCAGAGCCAGCTGAGGCAGTCAGCAGATAGCAGAGAAGTTCCCCACCGTTTCCATCTCTGACCACAACTTAAAAAGATCATAGCAACGTAACCACATATAAATAGCCCCGTTCTTTGCTACTTTGTTTGGGGAAACCTCATTTTTCCACGAAATCCAGGTTATCAGTGTGCAATAGTAGCTTATAGTAACTGATAGCCCCATGTGAACTGATAAGAATATTTCTAACTTGTGAAACTCATCTCTCTGTCACCTTTTAAATTTAGACTGCATCATTATTTCATTTACAGATATTACTTTCATGTGAGCAGAGATTTTCCCTTAATAATCCCTTAATTTTATGTGTTTAAGCCTTTATAAGACACTCATTGAAATACTTTGAAAATCTAAATTTCAAGACAAGAATGTCATTAGAGGACAGCACCATATTACTTTTTTTTAACATACAAATAGTAGATTTTAGAGCAAAAAAAGAAGCTAAATGTAATAACAAGAAATGACCTAATATGCCCTAATATATATATATTNACTTTTCAATTAGCCCTTTACTTTTTTTTTTCTAAACTTAGTAACCTTTTTTTCCAGCTTAATTTACAGTAGGTAATAAATCGTTCAAGGCCAAATGCAGCAGTATCTTTGCTGAATGGCTGGATATAAATCTAGAGCTCACTCAGGGGATGGGGCGACTCCATTTGTAAGTGATCAAAAACAGTAATTTGCTCTATAAAAGGTTAAGATTAACTGAACCAGTTATCGGTATCTACTGGGAAAACTTGTTGGTAAAAACAGTAATAATAAAATGAATGAAATTAAGAGCTTTAAAAGAGTTGGCTTTTAAAAATATCCAAAATGCTTCATTACTGCATAATCCTTCAATGAAACATAACTTTGATAAGTTCCACATCCCACAAAGTGTTTTTTTTTCTTTGTATCTGCATTGATTAAAATGCGTTACTGGTTCGTAATTAATCTAAAACTAAAAAAATCCCTTCTGCACCAAAGCATTTGCTTTTTAACTTGATCAAGTTTGAAAATACAAAGTATTTGTTTGTTCACCAAACCTGGAGTTGTGCTTTTATACAAATTATTTATATGAAAACAGAAAACGCACAATATTCTCTATTTTCCCTGCCTTTTAATGATCAGAGGTGCTGTTGGAAAAAATTGCCTGTTTCTGACCTCTGGATGATTGATCGATTCATCTGGTTAATTTTTAATGTTGTTTGTTTATTTTAACTCGTGGCTATGATGTTGCCATCGCTCCTAGTGTGGAGAGTCAAACATAAACCAGGGTGCTATTAAGTTGGTAACACCCATGCGTACGTGTTGCATGTGATGCATTTTAAAAGTAAGTAATCCTTTGCTGACAGGTAGAGCAGAACAACTGAGCAAGGTGGAGAAAGACAAGTTTAGCTGCTACTACTACAACAATGAGAGAGAGGTTATGAATTATGCCTGTGTGTCGTCACAGATGTGTTTAATGTTCAGCAAGAGTGCATTTGTGGCCTAAACAGACCAGAGTTGAGTGTTTCAACAAGAAATAAACTTGTTTACTCAGAGTCGGAGACTCTGTATTGTTGTTTAAGGCAAAGCCAGGTATTGTATTGTATGCCAACTAGGACACGTGAAGATGTACCTTTTGTGGTTCAGGATTATTTTCATACAGGCATGATATCAAACTGGCTTTGTTCCCCCATCACCTGACTAGTTAAAGTGGTTCAGTGGATCCCAGGGCCCTGATTGGTCAGAAGGAGGGTGTGTGTTCTCGCCTCATTTTGGCATCTTTCCCCCTTTCTGGCGGTCATGTCAGTCCAGGGTTCCGTTGCCCTGGCATCCTCTGACATGACCACCCAACACTGCTCCGCCTCGGGTCGTGTGCTGCCATTACTGGGGCTGTTTACAGTCGTGTCTGTTGAGGTAATAATTACGTCGACGGTGGGGAGAATGGGGAAAAATTGGCGCCTGTTGGGAGAACCAAAGCTTACTTGTGTCCTCGTGGCCGGCTCCTGCCAAATGCACTGCACCCCGCTTACTGCTGCTGGCAAAGGGGAACTCTCTCTTGCTCTTGTGCTTCTAAGACTCAAAGTGATTTGATATTTAGGTCAAATTTCTTATGAGACTCTTGCAAATCTGCCAAACTGAGCAGAAAGAGGGAGCGAGGCGAGAGGAGCGATTAAGGAGTTGAGGCGGAAAGAGAGAAAGTTTCCCAATTAGAAGCTTTGGAAATCAAATTACCTGCTGCCCGGAGGATTAATGCACAGCTAACAGTTTCCCTTAAAACTCCAGAGCTTTGAACCCTGATCAAAAGTAAGAACTTGTAGCATTTTTAGCATGCAATCAAATTAATCACAACGCCTTTAGGAAGTATAGAAAAATTCTACTTGGTTTGTGCTCATTTCTGGATGTATAGGGCTGCCCCTCTCCAACCTGTTGCTGCACACTGACACACAGCTACCCTCGCTTACTAATCAAGTAGACGTTGTTATTTGGAAATGTTTTTCAGTATTTTAGCCACTCGGGTCGCAGACTCCTATAAAATCTAATATCCTGTTATTAAAATAAATAATGAATAAATATTTTACATGGACAATAAAGTAAATAATAATCAATGGCAGTCTTGCTCCATTTATTTTAACAAAACCAATCGTAATGTAAAGTAATATATAATTTTACTTTGTTCATTAACGCTTTAATAATGTCAAATTTTTTTCCATCCCAGTCTGAACACAGGCACAGGTTGACCATCTGCAACAAAATCTGCTATGCAATCGGCGGTGCGCCCTACCAGATAACCGGATGTGCTCTGGGCTTCTTCCTTCAGCTCTATCTGCTCGACGTAGCTCAGGTAAGTTTTTCAAACGCCACAGCCACTCATGCAGAGCACTGCAGACGTCAAAGTAAACTATAAAGGTTTGGTTTTGGGTGGTAAACCTTTCTAGCTGACTGAGATGGCGAGCGCTGTGATTAGGCTCCACTGTATCTGAAGGATTCAATCTGGGGGGCTTGATTTCAAAATATTTTGGAGGGGAACAATGCCAGCGAAATGAGGAGGGTCTTAGTTTAATAGGCTCTTACATTAATCTGATGGTTTGGGGGTCATATTAGCCCATTAAGCCCGCGGCGTGGCAGGGTAGAGCTTTGTTCGCCTTCCAAGGCTGCTTGTTATGGGGCCCTTTGGGGGACGCAGCATGGCGCAGGTTGTACAGTCAGGATTAAAGCATTTCATTCAGCCATCACTGCTAAAAGTCCTCTAGTAAAGTTTAAGCTCATATTACCACTGTCACGGCTACTGTTTAACTTTATATTATCAGTTTAAGATGTTTTCATTGTACCTTGAGCTTCGTATGCTCGTTAACCTGTACACTAATTGCCCTGATCGTTTAGTATTTTAACCTTTGTCTTTTTCTTTCAGTTGGATCCTTTTTATGCCTCAATCATCCTGTTCTTCGGCCGAGCTTGGGATGCTGTGACGGACCCCACGGTGGGTTTCCTGGTCTCCAGAAGCCCGTGGACTCGTTTTGGCCGGATGATGCCATGGTATGTGTTTTTAGTACGGATTCCTCCTCTGCTGTTGAGGCTTAAGCAGCTCTCTGTCAAAGTTGGGACTCTGCCAATTTCCACGACCCTGCTAATGAGGCCCATTTACGTAACTTCCTCACTTGTTGTCAGATATTTGCCATTGAAACAGTGGAATAGAGAGGCAGGGGGGCTCAGTGAGATAGTGGAAGTTTTCCAGCCGGACTGGACGTGTCATTGTTTAGGGGTGGAGCTTATGTAGCCCACGTCACCTTATTCACGAGAAAGGTAACTATGAGGCAAGCTAAGGTTTGTCCTGTGACTCTGCCTCATCACCCTCATGTGGATGCACTCTGTCTCTCTCCCTTATGTTTTTTTTTCCTGCTAATTCTGTCACTGGACCAGTTACGTGTGAAATTTATTTAGCTGCAAGAGTCCAGAACAGATTGTTTTCAGCTAAAACACTCTATGTTTCCAACTACAGAGAGCTTTGCTAAATCTAACTCCTACCTGCTACAGAACCGGTTTTGTTTTTTTGTTTTTTTTGGACGTATGCTGCACACTTTTTAAATTTTTTTCTGCTCAGATGCTCTTATGTGAAATTTCATTTATCATTAATATGACTTAAGTAATTTTCCACAATTTTTATGCGCAGATTAATTCATCGGTGAGCCGATGAGTCTTGACAATGCAGGCTTTACATTTTCCTGATGTATAAGCATTAATAAGGAGGGACATCTGTTTAAAAACGCCATTTCTCATTAAAAGCCAGGGGTACGGCTTTTAGCGTAACCAGCTTCTGTCCTGAAATGCGCTGAGGAGGGACCCCGGAGGTCAGTCGAAAGACCAGTTCATGAAGAAGGAGAATATCTGCCTGATTTTTTTTTCAGAGGAACTGTATTTTTTTTTTTTGCTGTGAGGACGCTGTTATGCTAAAATATATGGGCAAGTACCCTGCTTTTAAGGCAGTGCCTAACATCGCAAAATATGGTAGTGGCTGCATCATACTGTGGGAATTTCTTTTTTTGTTTTTCTATAGCAGAGACAGAGACACGTAACAGTTTAGCTGAGGATAGATGGAACATATTCTTTCAAATGTCCTGCCTTGGCCAAACCCCCCCAAAAAAACATAGAGTAACACTGCAGAGGGGTTCAGAGATCCTTTGGCCCACATTTGAGAAGACATATTTGACACACTGACAGGGAGTGTAGGGTGTCAGTGGTGGTTCTGATTATAGAAGACTTCATCCATCTCCTGTCAGCACATCAGTGTCAATTTTAGGGGAGAGGAAATGAGCCAGCTGAGGGAAAAGGTAAAAGGTAGAGCAGGTTCAGGAGGGTGATTTCCACTTGGCAGCTTTTTAATAAACGCTAAAAGGGAGATGCATTATAGTCGTCTCTTTCCCATGCTCTGTTCTCCCTCAGGAGTGCAATGCACAGGAGCTCATACTAATTAATAATGCAATCGGTTCCTCTGAGGCTTGGATGCTGATCTGATTTGTTATGAAATGTAAAGATCGGATGATACAAAGGAAACATAAATCGGATCTATGCGTCTGTTTCTACAATATAAAACAGGCCGTCCTAATAAGGTGATGCTTTATGACTCATCAAAATAGTTTTGAATCCAGATGTTTTAAAATGGGGTCAGGGTGGGTGCTGACGTGCTGGAAGAGGCGGATTTCCTCCCATTTTTCTTTTATTTCGTCATTGGGGAAAGGGTGTGTGGCTGCAGGCGGAGGAATGGCCGGCATGTGCAGTCACATCGGCTTCAGCTCTCTGGTTAAACGAAGCACATGAGGGCTGAGGAGGGAGTGAGCTGTTCCTTTGTGAGGAGGGGGGGAGGGAGAGAGCCTCTGATTGGTCCAAGCGAGAACACACCACCTATCTGGGCCAATCACATCTCAGGAAGGAGCCTTGCAGGATTTTTAAAGAGCGGCTGAGGAATCCGGAGGTTACTGCAGTTCATATTTCCCTCATAGAATGAGTCTCTGTGTTGCAGCAGAGCTACAAGTAACTAAATGAAATCTTGAAATTTCTGTCAACATAATCAAACATGGGGCATCTGACCCATCTTAAATGAATCTTAAACTCTGTACAGGGTAAATATGTGGCTTTTCTACCTCACCGCTGAGACGTTTGAGGGAAAGGTGTGTGCATTCTGAACATCTCTAAGGTCTAAAATTATTCAATTGCAAAGAGGCCATCCCTTCAGATCCAGAACATATTTCTGCTGGAATCAAGGTTTAAAACCACACCCAAGCCTAGTTATATGCACCTTTATTAAATAGCTGTTGGCAATAAAACATGTTCTTACAGCTTTGTGAGGGCCAATTAAAAGCTGTCACGTGTTGATTTATACGTCTGAGGTGAAGATCTCTTCCCCTAATCAGCAAAACTATTAATATGTCCCAGCAGCGGGATCATGTTGGCACTAAACTGGGCTCTGTAGGGCGTCAGCACAGTTCAGCAGGTTTGCAAACAGAAAATTGGATAAGATACATAACGATTTAATTAAAATATTTTTGGATGATTGAGGGAAAAAAGAAAAACATGAGCCGAACGGTTTGGGACAAGTGGCACAGAAGATATACGTTCCTGAGAGCTTATCTGCGATAAAACATCCGCTGTAACCGGCTCCGCACTTCACAGCTGCGTGCCGCCTTCCCATGAGGGTACAGTTAATAATATCACATGGACTGTAGAGCACAGCCCCCCCCCCCTCCTGGCCTGGGTGTTACAGTAATAATGGGCTTAAGTTGATTAGCAGTGAGGCTGAATTGAGGCAGGGGGGCTTTGTTTGCCTTCCTGCCAGCAACACCATAGAGGGGGGTGGCTTATTTTAGTTTATGTACAGTAATGATTGTTGAACATTGTGATTTGTGAATGAGTTCATATCCTGTTTATGAGGCTCTCGGTATTCCCATAAAGAAGTTGTTAAGCATACAGAGTAACAAGCTCATTTTTTCTACTGTTAACCAATCAAATTCACTTTCCAAACACTGTTGGTGGCTAAATCAGAAATTTTTGACATGATTATTGAACTTTATTGATCTCACATTGGAGAAATATACCTCTGCATTTAACCCATCCCCTATGGGGAGCAGTGGGCTGCCATCGTGAGGCACCAGGGGAGCAGTGTGGGGTTAAGGGTCTTGCTCAGAGACCCAGAGTGGCAGTCTGTCAAACCCAGAACCTCTGGATTCCAAGCTCTATGCCCTAACCACTAAGCCGCCACTCCCCAAAAATTAAAACCTGAACAAAAGTTTTGTAAAAGGTGTGTAAAATGTTTTTTCTTTTGTCTATATTTAGCGTCCCAAAGTAAGTAGGATATGTCTGGTCACTGATCCATACAGCACATATGTTGTGTGGCTGCATTCTTCCGTTCCTTTCAACCCAATGTAACCTTCAGATCAGGATATACCTGTTGCTGGTTAAGGATCCTACCGCCCCTGTTTATGTAAGACCAACAGGTTAGAGTTTAGTGGCTGAACTCTGAGTTAATGGGAGCTTCAGCCCGCCAGAGGCTGATGTCCCTATAGAAGCACCAAAAGGTGCATTGTTTTAAACGACGGCAAAATAATTTCAAACATTTGAAGCTGTCTTTTAGCACCTTATTTTGAGTTATTAAGGTCTGCTCACTAATATCTCAAAGGGAATTAATTGTTCTGAGATTTGCTGAAATGATGAGAATTGAATCTAGGAACTGCTGACCCTTCTTGTTATCTGTTGAAAGTGTTGCTCTCTCTCCCTGCCTCACCGCCTGGATGACATCTATTCACATGCTGCTCAATATACATTTTCCAACTTTTGTCCTTGAACACTATTAGTGATCATTATCTCTTGTTTTTTTGTGTTTGTATCTTTTTTATCATAATTTTCAGTCACTAATTTTGTTGTTCTCTTCATCCACCTGCAGGATCGTACTCTCGACTCCTCTCGCTGTGATGTCATATTTCCTCATATGGTACGTCCCACCCTTTGAAGATGGAAAAGTCGTCTGGTATATTTTCTTCTACTGCATCTTCCAGAGCCTGCAGACCGTAAGTAGCCCACTTCACTCTGAGTCTCTGCTTAACTGCATGCAAGAAGAGCTTATGTAAAAGGGCTTTAATGGCATTATATTTGGCTAAAGACTCACTTGCAAACTTTGCAGCTTTATTTCTTTTCTACTCTGAGGTCAGAATTATAGATGGATAAAAAATGGATAAATGTCTCTCACCAAGTTGCAGAGAAACCGCACTCTTAACGAAACCTTCTGATGTATATAATAGACCATAGTTATCAGAAATGACGAAGTCCACCACTTCCTTCCAGAAACCGAGCTTCTAGTGAATCAATGCTCTATAGGGTTTAGCTTGGGGCCACTTTATTGCCATTGGAGGGCGTGGAGGAAAGTCTGTGTTTGAGTGGAAGCTTGTAATGCATGACTTTCCTGTTCCGGGATGAACAGTCTGCTTCCTTTTCCTCTGAACAGACAGGTTTAGGACACGGATGTGGCTGGACTCAAGCTCAGTCAGTTTATAAGGAAAGAGTAGAGAAAGCAAAGAATTGTAAACAGTTGGAAAATATGCAGTGTTGATTGTATTAATCTTAAACGTAGCAGGAAATGTTCATTCAGTGAGCTGTACGTACCAGGTTCACAATGTTAGCTTGAATCAGCTTTTTTAAAAAGGAGTTTTTAAAGGACAGTGTGTGTGATGTTATCATTTTTTGTCAAGCAATAAACTTTAAGCTTTTTATTTGATGAAAGTGGAATACTTATCCAACTGGCTTTATGCTATTAGCCACAGTCACAGGCAGTTAAACAATCCCATAGCATGATCCTGCTGCCACCATGCATTCATGTTGGTTCAATAAAGCTACAACTGGATGTTAAGGTTTTTATTTCTTCTTGTATCAGCTTTGGTCAATAGATGCATCCAGCAGAAATGCCTTTAGCTCACCTGAGACGCATGCATGGCTGCTCTCTCTATTTGCTATCCAGTACTTGTTTCTAAATGTTTTATTATTTGCTTAAATAGACTTTAACATTTGTTATGATTTTGAGCTTTTTTATCATATAAAAGAGGAAGGGAAAAAAAACATCTCTCTAGTACAAACTAATGTGGTCATGGCATATTACGGAAATTTCATCAGGAGTTTAAACTCGGCTTGAACCCTGATGGAAAGTAGAAATCAGGAGATAACTTTAAAACACAGGAAGTTAGTGTATGCTTTGAGAATTATATTTTACACCCCAGTTTGTTCCAGCAGATTTCCTGGAAGCTGCTTTTTGGTCATTTCAAACAAATGACTTCTTCATGATGTCAACCTTTTATGATTCAGTTTGCATAACGAATAACATGGATCTTCTTCTCTCCAACCATCAGTGCTTCCATGTGCCATATTCTGCCCTCACCATGTTCATCACCTCAGAGCAGAAGGAGAGGGACTCTGCTACTGCCTATAGTAAGTCAAAACCAACCATGTTTTAAAGTGAGTTTAATTTTAAACCCAGGGTTAAACTTCATATGCATTTATCCTGATCTTCATCAGGGATGACGGTGGAGGTTTTGGGCACCGTTGTGGGTACGGCCATCCAGGGGCAGATCGTGGGCATGACTCACGCTCCCTGCCTTCCAGGACCCATGGAGATCCTTGCAGATCCCACTAACAATTACACGTTGATCCCCCACAATGTGTCAGAACACTCTATATCCCTGCAGTACACGGTAAACAAATGTTTATGGCTTTTTTTACTATCTAAATTACTACACAGGAACTGATATGAGAGGTCAAAGGGAATGTTGGTCTAATATTCTCTTTTTCCTTTATTTTGCTGTAGAGGAACGCATACATGATTGCATCTGCTGTCATCTGTTCGATCTACATCCTCTGTGCAGTTGTCCTCTGCTTGGGCGTAAGGGAACATGGTGAGTCGCCACTCCACACATTTCCTCTCTCCAGCTTTTACTCAGAACAAATGAAAAGCTCTCAGCCACATTAGCGGGTCGACTCACGCATGCCTTATGCTGCATCTGCTCTGACATGTCTGTCGACCAATCAGGCGACTCGGATGTGGCATGACTGGGCTGACCGAGTGTGAGAACAAGCCCCAGCTGTGGTTTAAATTGGAAGCCTTGTGACGTGTGTGGAATGGATCTAATAAGGCAGATCTGTGCAGCCGATTGTGGGAAAAAATGTGCAAAGAGAATGAAGGAAAAACATGAAATGTTTGTATGTTTCATAAATGTCTTTTCTGGTTTTAGAGACCATTGGGATCAGGTCCAAGCCTATGCCCTTCTTTCAAGGAATCAAGATGGTGATGGGATATGGACCCTATGCCAAACTGGTCATGGGTTTCCTCTTCACCTCTCTGGCTTTTATGGTATGTATTGATGAACATGCAGTAAAGATAAAAAGCCATGGCGTCTCAGAATTAGGGATGTAAGGATCCCAAAATTCTCAAGTCGATATTAATACCCAGGAAAATATTCCAAACTCGATCCAATTATTGTTACCATTAGGATTAAAGATAAAAAAATCCTTTTATTAAAATGAAAGATCGCCTTTTTTATCTCAACATGACACAAGCTTTTATAACAGAATCACTGATTCTTGTAGTGAAATAAATCTGCAAACAAATGCAAACCAAGTAGCCCAATTGTAAAAATAATGTGACATTATTCTAAGGTTGTTTGAGTTATTAATCTCAAAAATGAACAATAGTAAAAATATGCGAACACTAGTGTTTAGTATTGATACTCTGCCAAATTAGGACTGCTCCTGGATACAGCATTTCAGTACCAATACTTCATCAGTACTTTAGACAACTCTACTCAAATTTACTAAATATGTTCTGCCTTCTATTGAGACAAACAGCTTGATTAGAAAATGTACTCCAAGTTCAGGTGCATCTGTGTGCAGACGCCCTAAGCTGATGCTGTATTGATCTTGATCTAATTACCTCTGTTTTTATAACATATTTTCATTTAACTTCGCAATCTTTTGCTTGGATGTGGTCGTCATCGTGCTGAACGACTCGGTTCTTCTGTAGGTTTTGTGTCAGCACTTAGTAGCATTTAGAGCTCCTCATCATTCCTTCCATCTTAACTAAGACCAGCTGAGCAGCCCAAATCATGATCCAGCCACCACCATGCCTCACTGTTTAAAAATGGAGCGCTCCGTTTTTTTCTTTTGTTTTTTTGTGCCAAATGTACTTTTTGTCGCTCCTTAAATATGATTACCGTAATTTTCGGACTATAAGCCGCACCTGAATATAAGCCGCAGAAGCTAAATTGCATGATTTGTACATATACAAGCCGCACCCGACTATAAGCCGCAGGTTTTTTATGTTTAATTAACATAAGGTTTGTGCACAGAGACGATTGTTGGGAAAGAGTTTGGGGAAGCTCCTATTTATTAACATTTCAACACAATTTGCATATTTGCATATGTTAACTGTTACAATTTAGTGCAATAGAAGCTCCCATTTATTAACCGGTAGGTTTTTTCTCCATAATGAGGGTGTCACACAAACTGTCTTCCGCTTGCAATGTCCATCTTTCTCGCTGTCGTTCTGTCTCGTACCACTCGCGGTAGAAGTCTGCTTCCGGAGGAACTCGGCATTCCCACGTGCGGCTACCGTACTTGTGTGTTGAAGCAAATGTGACGTCAACATGCTGGATGGTAAAATCCATAGATTTAGGTATTACCCTAGTGGCCGTTAGCTGTAAAAGTCCATAGATAAGCCGCAAGGTTGAAAAATGGGGGAAAAGTTGCGGCTTATAGTCTGAAAATTAGGGTAACTGTTTATAAACTCCAGTTTTAATTAGTCTTAGGGTTTAATTGTGTTTGTGTGAATACGTGATTGTGTTTACTCATCATGCTAAACTCTTGGCAGCTCTGCTGAGTTTCTCTGTGTGGCTGTTGCCTGATTGAGCCTCTGTGTTTTTTGCTCCTCAGCTCCTAGAGGGAAACTTCGCTCTCTTCTGTAGCTACACACTGGGATTCAGGAAGGACTTCCAGAACATTCTGCTGGTTATCATGGTGAGCATTTGCTTAATGCAGAGGTGGCATTTTCAGACTCAAAGAGGCCTTAGACAGAACTCAGAACAGTCCATTTAGGTGGAACAAGGGGAACCTTTAGAAGACAAAAGCGTCCCCTCCCAAGGCGAGCACATAAATTGTCTGCAGAACAAGGAATGCTCTGTGGCGGGTTTCAAAGCAGGGCTCCTGTCTGGCTCTCTGTTCCTCAAAGTGCTCTGCCTGAATGCCATACCGTTCCCACAGACGGGGAAGGAGCCTCATTCTTCACTCGTTTTGTTCCCTGGTTTGATATAAAACCCAGAATCAGTCTGCAGGTCCTGAAATGTTTTCAAGTCTGCCAACTGAGGCAGCAGAGCTGCTGAGGGGCAAAAGTCCAGGTTACAGAGGATGAAAAGATTACAGCCTTTAAGCCTTAACTTTATGGAAAGGATTTCAGAGCAAATATGGGCACCTTAATGTAAGTACATTACATTAATGGAATGATTTCTGAGAAAACGGCTCAGATGTGAATTCACATAATTGGCACCAAGACATCCTAATCCTTCCACTCTTTCATTTTCTGAAATATCAGGCTAATCTAATAAATCTGACTGGATCAGAATTGGGACTTTCCTTGGAACAGAACTTTTTTTTTTTTCCATATTTAATCAGATTACAACCAAAAACGTCAGTAGGTCCCTGAATATTTTAAAGTGTAACATCAAAGCCTAATAAGCTTGGATGAAGAGCTTCAGTGAAGATTGACCACAGATTATCACTGGATTGTGTTGGGATTGTACTGGTCCCAGCATGATGCCACCACCTCCATGTCTCAACATAAGCATCTCATGTTCAGGGTGACGCCAAGCTTCTTGTTTTCCTCCATCTCTTCTACATAAGCTTTAAGTTTAGCATCATTTTGTGGAAAAAAGAAATTTCTGCTTCAATAACAAATGTTCTGCTTAATTTCATTGAATCCCACTAAAACAGACTGAAATTTCTTCTTGAGCTTTACCTGGGGAGCTTTTTTTTTCAGATTACTTTGTCGCTGATATTTTTTTGTTGTTGGGGGGGAAAAAAACAAAGATTTAAATGAAAAATTCGATGTTGGGTGCGTTTAGATTCATGGATGAAAACACTAGAGTTGAATGTAAGGAGAAGAGCTCAGGGAGCAGCGGCTGGCAGAGCCTCGTATGCTTAATGAGAATCTGAGGCATGCAGCAGATTCTTCATCGAAGGAGGGGCCGTATCAGCTGTTTCTCGTTGCGATCGATGAGTTTGCTAGTGCTCAGATGTGTTCTGATTCCTTCCAGAAGAAGCTGATGAAGCTCCAGGCTGGTGTGGCTGCAGCAGTCTGAGGGCTCAGAGGATACTAACTAACGCAGCAGCTGAAAAGACTTGAAAAGGAATCAAAAATAATCTGAGCAGCTTCACAGATGACCTGGAGAGAGAGAGGGAGTCACATGTGGGCGGCTAAACTTTCAGATATGCTCCTATCTGAAGGAAAGAGTGGAAAAATACAGTCTGTCGTTGGTATAGATGTCAGAGGCCAAACTATTCAGATAACCCCCCCTCCCCCGCTGAGAACAGCAGTTACCTGTTTAGATTTCTACAAACATGAAGCTCAGATTTGCTTAGTTTGGATCTGGATGAGGCCTTATTATATTCCACTGTTTGGATGTTTAAGAGCTGCAGGCAAACAGCAGAAAGTCTTTTGTTGGATTCATGAGATCTTCTTTGTTTTACCTTTGCAGCTTTCTGCTACTCTAGCCATCCCGGTCTGGCAGTGGTTCCTGACTCGCTTCGGGAAGAAAATGGCGGCGTATGTCGGCTCCTTGGTAAGAACATCCTCTCAGATTCTGCTGTCACACGTTAAGAGTGTCTGATCATGGTAGTAAGCATCATTCTCCTGTGGTTTTTTTCCTTCCAGTCTGCCGTTCCCTTCATGATCCTGGTGGTTTGCATAAAGAGCAACCTCATCGTCACCTACGTCGTTGCTTTTGCTTCTGGCGTGGCGGTGGCTGCAGCCTTCCTGCTGCCCTGGTAAGGACTCTCGCTACGCGCCCTTCTGGATTGGATTTTAATTTGTCGAGTTGCACTTCTAAGGAGCTTTTTTTTTCTCCACCTCAGGTCCATGCTGCCCGACGTGGTCGACGATTTCCAAGTTCGTAACCCAGAATCCACTGGGCACGAAGCCATCTTCTATTCCTTCTACGTGTTCTTCACCAAGTTTGCGTCTGGCATCTCCCTGGGCGTCTCCACGCTGAGCTTAGAGTAAGAGCTGCTCCCCATCTGTGATTTGAAGCATCTATTTTAATTCTCAAGTCCTCCACCTTTCTGCAGAATCAGAAGCGCCTTTAGCGTTGTGTGGTTTCATTTTGTTGCTACAAGATTTAATCTAGAAAAGCGATTCAGGAAAGTCAAGTTGAAGGAGCCCAGCATGTTATTCCTCATATCAGGTCTTTTCAGGGCAGATTTGTTAGTCTCTCATCAAAAGTTTAAATCCAGAGCCTGGGTTCACTAAAAAGCCCAAAAATGAATGAATCACATCCCTAAATCCCACATCAAAGCAGGAATTCCTCCGCTCATTAGGGGCTGTACAGTAAAACGTTTTTTTGTGGGAGTCAGATGACTGACTGCCGCTGAGCACCGATGTTCTGCTGTCCACATCAAAGCGCCGCCATCTAACTCCGTTTACGCTGCCTTCTTTTCAGCTTCGCTGGCTACATCAGCAGAGGCTGCTCCCAGCCTGAGGAGGTGGATTTGACGTTGAAGCTGTTGGTCTCAGCCGCCCCCATAGTCCTCATCTTCATCGGCCTGGGAATCCTGTACACGTATCCCATCGACGAGGAGAGGAGGCAGGGCAACCGCAAGTACCTACAAGACTTGAGGTAAGGCCTTTGGAGCTAAAGGGCCATCAAAGATATCGTGTAGGTGGGCGTTTAAACTGAAACCATGGTGACACTTAAAATAATTCCTCAAACGCTGCATTTGATCACAGTGGAGGGCGGTGAATATAATGAGGGGCTTGTTCAGCCATCAATGAGTACCAAGTACTAAATGGAGCTGCTAACTCTGAGAGAGGTTTACAAACTGCGTCTGTCCTCTTGTGCTGGAAAAGTAGCCCGGTTAGCATTAGCATCCAAGTTAAAGAAAGCTCCACATTAGCTTAGTGCTAGTGGCTAACTCTTTAGCTGTTTATAGTTAGCTGCTTCTTGAAAATAAACATTTAACCTGAAGCCTATACACAAGAACAGTTTTTCTCTGCGTTTAAATTCATTGACCTGATTGTTTTTTCCACAATGAATAGTTGGTACAAGTTTTCCTTTTTCAGTCAGATTTCTTACACTGAATTTACTTTTTTTAGAAAAAAAAAAAAAGGTGAACATACCAGGATGCTGTCTCATCCTTCTATGTATTTGCAAAAATAATGATTTAATGCATTAAAATAAAAGGAAGGTGGTGTTGGAAATTAGAAACATGAGATATAATGGAGATAAAATGAAAAAATGTAACTGTATCTGTTTTTTAATATGCATGAAAGAGAATGACATATTGAATATTTGAGTAAACAAAACTAAAAAGATGAAGATGTTATGGCAAACTGAGGATGGATATGAAGCTATAATCTCTTCTTCTGCTTTCAGGGATGAGGAGGATTCAGAGACGGACTCCAGAGAAATGGCCGACATGATCTAGGGTGTTTTTTTTTATTTTGAAGCTCTTCTGGACCAATCTGTTGATAAGCTGGCATTTTGCACTGGGCTGGACCAACGGACCTGGACCTGGACTTGGATCCAGGTCTGTTGGAGCGCGCTGACACCGCCTCGTCCTGCCAAGGCTGCTTCTGCTGCTGTTCTGAATAGAAACTGTGTGAGCCACGCTGAGGCCTTCCTGAAGACATCCTGCTCCTCCTTTTTTCTATTTATGATGTTTTCCTGGCGCCTCACTAAGCCTTACCTTTTTTTGTACAACATACTACTATTAGGTACAACACAACAGAGATTTTCTTTTCTCAATTGAAATTGCACAAAAAGGGTGAATTTGCATTATTGGTGCTTTTTGATGGAGCCGGGCAGAAGCTCCTCTTTTCTACATGCATTACTGAACGTTAGCGACCATTAGCACTGCGCTGGAAGGATCTTCACAGACCTGAGAGACAGCGGCAATGCCTTAATCTCTGTCACATTTCAGAGGAGACATTTCAGAAATGGATAAAGTGACATAAAAGTCTAACATCTCATCTTAGTTTACAAAACAACAATGGGGTGTGCCAGGTTGTTTGCTCATCATTCCCATCACACTGGCTCTCCTGGGAAGCGGTGATTACGTAACATGGTGCCAAGAGCCACTACAGTTTTGAACGCAGTGAGTTTGCACAAAAAAAAACTGCCAACTTATCAAGTCAACTGTTTCTTTTTTTGTTATATATATATATATAGATATATATATATGTCTATATATATATATATATATATATATATATATATATATATATATATATATATAAAACAGCTACTGAAGACAACATTGTCTCTTAATGCTTTAATTTCTTAAAACAGTGAAGCGGTGACTACAGCTGGAAAATGTCTGAATATTATTTAAATATTTATCAGTTTGGTTTTACAGTCCTCCTCCTTGCAGTATTTAAACCTATTTAAGGCCTGTACAGTTGTTCTAACAGAAGCTGCAAAGCTTTTCGTTTTATATAACCCGTGTAATTCTTGATGCATGTTGTCATTACTACAATCTTACAGAAGACTTTGAACGTTTACACACCCCTATTAGAAAGACCAGGTTTTTGGGGTGCCAAATATTTAGAACTCGGATGAATGATTTCAGAACGTAAATCTAATTAGTTATGGAGGGGGTTGTGGAGATGTGCTGGTTGTTTTTAGTTGGTTTTAGTTTTGCCCGTTTCTGCTTTAATTGTTCTTTTATTAACAAAAAGAAAAATGACACTCTTAAGGCAGATAAGTTAAAGTTAAAACTGGCTGCTACTGATATCCCTTACCTTACCATCTGTAGATGAGTAATCCCAGAGCATCATGCTGCCACCACCATGTTTCTCTGTGGGGATGGTCTTATTTCAGTGATCCGTTTATGACCAGTCCTGCCATTTGGAACGGTGATTTAGTAACAACACAGCTGCTCCACTTGTTGAAAACTTTATTTTCTTTTCTTTGCTGGAAGCTCATATCTTATCTTGGCAGTATTTTGTTTAGTAAGATCTTTTAGACCATTTCTGCAAACCATAGCTTTACATTAAGTCTGGAGAAGATTAAAGAAATCCTCATGAAATAGATAAACTTTATTTACATTTGAACATCTACTCTATAACTGATAAGAGGTCCAAACTCAGGACTGAAGGTTAGAGTATTATTTTTAGGTTTTTCCCTCTTATAGATCCACTTTTTTTTTTTTTTTTCAAATCTATTCTTAAGTATTTCTCAGATGTTTTGAAATGATTCATCCTGCCCTTACAGCTTAAAAACCTGCTGTCCTAACAGGAGTGTGTGAATGTTTTTTTTTTTTTTTTTTTTTACCTCTGCTGCAGCACTGTAAGCACAGAAAAGGGAAAGCACACTTTTTGGTTGGAAAGATGAATTCACATTTCATTTTTCTTGTTTATTGAAACCATCCAAACACTTTGTGATCATCTCAGTCCTGGAAAAAAAACAAAACAAAAAAAAACAAAGGACTTGCATGTTTCATATCTGTTGATATGGAGATGTGTATATGTAGTGTCATATGTTATACATACTGTTACATCATGAACGTGACAACTAAGTTGCCATAGTGATTCTGTTTTAATACATTAACCTTGTTTTCTCCTCCCTTCATCTGAATGATACTGTATGTGCCAACATCACTCACTGATCTTGTAGTTTTTGTAAATCTTGTAAATGTTTTGGTTTCTCGTCATCCTATAGTGTTTTTTCTTTTTTTTCCCACATGCACGTCTCTCACGAGGCTGTTGACAAATGAGCTTTAATCCTATGGACACACAAGCCTTGTAGACCTGCCTCCTGTGCATATGTAAATATTGTATATAAAGCTGTAAATGGATCCGATGCGTGTGTCTGCAAGTGAATGGACTTCTGTACTGTAGTTATTTAAAATGAAAACTGTGGAAGATAATAAAAATGAATTAAATGGACTGGAAATTACTTTTATTGGGATATATAGTGTAAATGCACCAAACAGAATCCCTCTACATAGTATCCACACAAAACAAGGAAGGAAACATATGATGTATAATATATAACCTTTTTTATGCAGCTTACAACAAAAATAACATTAAAAATTCAATTATATCTAAACATTTTTGAGGAAAATATCAATATCCGTCATATGACAAACTAACATGAACCTCTTCATATTAATACTGACTAATTAACACTTTATACATAAATAGACAAATGTTTTTACAACCTATTAGATCTCCATGAAGTGAATTACAGTTTTACCTCAATAACCGAAGGACACATCTGTTTAAGTGATATAAGATCAAAATCGTGTTTGAAATATTTTCTCCTTCTAAATGAAGAATATGTATTTCGTTCTAAAAAAGAACTATTACATATTTCTTTAAACTTCAATATTCTGGATTTAACAAATTAACTGCTGTGTTCATGAATCTTTATAACTCTTACAGCTTTCTTATTCTGTAATATAATGGTTTTATATTTAAATTCTATTTCCCCATATTTCTACACAGTAGTTAATGCCATATTGAGTGAACTATAGAATATTTTAATTGTTTCATGATTTAAAACTTCCTACACTTTTTAACAAATTTTTAGATTTAATGAAAACTTGGTGGAAAATTAAGTGGAAGGAAAACATTTACTAGAAGAGGCAACCTTGAAAGGACTCTGTAGATGGGAAAGGTTACCAGGTGTGCACATTATATGAAGTTGGAGCTTTTTAAGTTTGTTAAATGCTTCACATGACCAAATTACATAATTTTGGCTTCCACGTTGCATACAGAAAGAAATTCCATACCACATACCTAGAAGAAAAGTATGCGAGTACATAGGAAAGCTGTATAGCAGTAGACTTTGTGTCTGCATGGAAAAAAACATGCATCAAGCATGGCTGCAGCCATAGAAACAGACAGGAGTGCTCCTTTTTTCTTTTTCAGTTGAAAGACAGTTACCAATTTGCTTTAAATTACAGTGGAAGCTTAGAAGGCCGCGGAAACTAAACTTTTTAAAGTCCAGTGTAATGTTTTCATAGTCAGTGTTGATCAGTAGTGCTGATTAATCTGCTTACTTTGGTCCTATTGTGTTTGTTTTGAGGTCCACCAGCAAACATGTCATTTTAGAGGATCTGATAGGCTGAGAAGTTTTATGAAGTTGCTGGTTTTATTCCTCAGCGAGACTTAGAACCTCCACATTAGACTAGGGGTACCCAAAACGGTTACCATGACCATGATGTGCTCAGCATTACCTCCGAAACTAAACCTCATTCTGACTCTACTAAATATGATAAGAGTTGCAAGAGCCAATAATGGACTTTCTACACAGCAAAAACGATCTAGAAGTAAGCAAACATTTATTAAGTGTATTTTACCTTAATTTGATTATGTGATTCAAATGATTTGCAAATGGAATTAGTTTTTTACCCTTAAAATAACATCAATAGATAATATGCACTTGGAATAAGACAATGCAATTGTTTTTTTTTCTTATTTTAAGTGTAAATTGTCTTGTTCCATTGGCAAAGTGTCTCACTTATCTCCTCAATTCAAGGAAAAATGCACTTATTTTAAGAAAAAAAAATACTTTTTTCACCTTAGCTCCAAGAATGGAGGATAAAACTTCTCAGCTTTAATCCTCATTTTTTAATCTTACTGTCAACTTTAGCTTTAACAAACCTGAGGAACTAATATGACCTGATTTGTGCACAAAATCTCCTTTTTATTTATAGGTTTTTTCCTTATCACATCTTCCTGATCCAGGGCTGTTTTCTTTAGTAAATACCGGTATTCAATTGTCTAATGATTCAAAATTGACTTTACTTCTTAGGGATGTGAGTAAATGTAGACGTAAAACAGAAGATAAAATTTTGGAGTTGTTTTTCTAAATGCAATCATAATATTCTTTGTTTGATTATAATGCTGCAATCATGAAGGTGTGTGTTTTATATGTGAAACATTTAGTAAAAAACAAGCACAATATCTTATAAAAGTGGGAACGCCCCTCACAGTTTTGTAAGTTTAATTTTGTATTATAAAACTGAATATCTGAGATGCTGGGCCTGGTCTGCTGAGATCCCAAATAAGGAGTGTGTGAAAGGAGTAGTAAAAGCCGAACAGCCTAATCTACAGCAACAGATAAGAGACTATCTGCCTTGTCACTCTTCATAGAGTGATATAACTCTACACAGGGTTGCCTCTTAATGTTTTTTAATGAGCTAGAGAGCCACCTGCTGGTGAAGGGGGGTAATATAATTTTCACTTAATATTAGCTTCTATATTTTTCACGTCTATCTTTCCTGCATGTTTGCTGAAGTAACATTTGAACTAAAATAGTGTTTCTTAACTAAATGTAGCTTAGTGCATCATCTAAAACAGGCTATAATATTGATCTGCTTTCATCAAATAAAGCTGAACCAGTTATCCAGTTAACATAAGCTTCATACTTAATCCAACTTTGCATTTAAAGACTAAACTTATTTCATTTGTCAGTCTTCCACACAGGCAAATGTTTAGCTCTATGCAGTCTTTTGGTAAAGCATCTAATTCCTGTGTTTGCTTATTGATTGATTTATTTTCTACGGGCATGTCTTTGGAAAGCCTAAGAATTTAAACTCAGCTGTCTAAACTTCTGGCTTACAGGCTGAACTATACTATCCATTTGAAGTTTGTAAATAAATCCTTTAACAACATGATGCAGATGTTGTGGGGAGGCAGAACCAGTGTGGTGCACAGTGGGGTTTTGCCTGGCAGGAGAAAAAATGTTTAACATCCAGCTATTTAGCCAACTATTAGGCCTCCAATTATGTTTAACCTTAATTAAGTCCAGGGTTGATTGCCTTATGGACTGGAATGGCAAGGTGGAGAAATTATCCTTTGGATTCCAGGCAATCAAGTTAATAACAACAATAATAGCAATAGATCTATCCAGGATGTATAAATGTACCTCAAAGTACTATAAACATTTTATAAATTAATACCTGCTTAGGTAATTTTACATTTATACAAGCTGAACAGTGATTACAGTGTGTCATAGTATCATCTCTCTCTCTCTCTCTC